CATATTTGGAACTCTTATATATGGTAGCGTGCACTAGCCTACGACTTATGGTCCCGTTTTGGTCTCTTTATAATTCCTTCCAGAGCCCAGAAGTCACTTTGACAAACAAACACTTTGACAAGATGTGGCGGGATAAGCGTTTCCAAGATCGACTGATCTTAAATGTAGTGGACGAGGCTCATATGGTCAATGAGTGGGGCCTCGTGGAGAGTGGGCTAGCGAAAAGGCTTGCAAGCCATGTACGGGTTCAGGATGGGGGTGTGTTTTGACCGTCGTATGGCGAACTCGCACGTCGCTTTCTCTCTTCTGCAAAGGTCCCAATCCTTTTGATGTCGGCAACCTGCCCGCCGCAAGCTATCCATGCTATCCTTGCCAACCTCAAGCTCGACTCGAGAGATGTCAGATTCCGAACCGCAGAACTTACTCGGCCCGAGATACGATTCCTTCGAAGGACTTTTAAGCGCCCACTCAAATCTTCGGTACGGGGCATTTTTGCTCATCACTCTGTAGTCCCAACTAAGGACATCGTGCCAACCCTCCTGTACGCCGGGACTCAAAACAACACGCTCGAATATTTAATCCTGATGAACACATCTCGCGGGCAACCTAACGAGACCGGGAACGGCCATTCCAACTTTGCACGTCGGTATCACGCTAACACAGGGCCAAAGTCCAAACTGGACGTGGTGGCAAACTTTGTTGCAGGTACGCTTGCAGTCTTATGCTGCACCTTGGCTTTGGGACTCGGACAAAACTGGAGTCGGGTTCGGCGTGTGATCATTGTGGGTCGTCAACACCCGGGGAATTGTGTACAAATGTCCGGGCGAAGTGGCCGAGATGGTCGTCGAGGATTAGGTATCCTTTTGGTCGAACAAACTCGAACCAATGGCAAGAACAAAATTTCAGACTTCAAAACCCCCACGGTAATGTCTGACAACGACCGCATGGACGCCCTGGCGATTACGCCGGTCTGTCTACGCGTGGCCATTGCCGTTGATCTCCGGTAAGCATAAGCAGTGTCATTCTGAACTTTTTGGTCCATGGTGAACTGACATGTTCGTGTATATACTTAGACTTGGATACATTCCACTGAAAATCGACAAATTGTGCGTCACCGAAGAGGTGGAAAGGCAGAAGAGGGCATCAATGCCCGTCTGTGATTGCTCAAATTGTCAACCCGAGGCGGCCGAGGCCCTGTGGCTGGCTCAGCCTGCACTGACCGTGGACAACTTCGATGAGGCTCTGGCCATGCGTGAGACCGAGCTCCTGCACCTAGTACGAGATCTCCCTGAGCCACCTCGACCTACTCCTGCTGAGTTTCGACACGTGGCATTGGTGTGTGACACTGACGACCCTATCGAGAATATAGTGTTGCTGGAGAAACTTGTCTCCCATCTAGAACGCGCATTCAATCGGTTTTTTTACCTCGTTTTCGCCGAACCTTTTGATCTAGGGCCGCCAGATTATTTTGGCCGCGACATGGCTTGGGATATCGCTAAAAACATAGACATCATTACTCAGCCAAGCGATTTTTCAATAGTCCTTTCCAGTGAAACTCTACCGGGACAGTTTGACTGTTTATTTGTGGCTTTTTCTCAGTGGAAGAATGGGGATCAAACCGCTGGGTTATTAGCCGAGGCAGCCGACCGCCGGACAGCGAGTTACAGGGCGAACAAGACAAATAAGGTCCCGCAATCATGTGAAGGTGCTCAACTCACCAAGGCGCGTGCGGAGTCAGCGAAATCAGCCACAAAGCTAGCTACTGAGCAAGCCAAAAAGGACGCATCCCAAGCAAAGGCAGCCGAAAAAGCTGCGCGTGACCAGCGGAAACTCGAAGCAGAAGAACAGAAGAAAAGAATGCAAGTGGGAGCGATTGCACTGGACCACGCCAATCCGCAAGCATTGGAGAAGCCCCCCAGTGCCAAGTTGAAACGCGTGGCTGAGGACTTTTTGGAAGGCGGACCATCTAGACAACTTAAAGGCAATCCCCCAGTAAGTTGTCTAATGGGATATAAAGCTCTCGCCTTAATTTTACATTGATTCATGGGCAATTGAATTGATTCGATGTCTTTTTCACTATGAATGTTATCTCTTTCTCATGGATGATCAATCCAAGACGACAACACGTCCAAAGCACCCCACCAATACCGCGAAGATCGACCCGCGGCTGTGTCCGCAAGGTTCAATTTGACCATGTTACGCATCCCGGCCCGCCATACGTTTGGCACCTGTGCCGGAGGCCGCGCGGTGGCGCTCTCACCCAAACTTTCTGCAGAATAGGTCAAAAACATCGCCAGTGACGTATCCGTGATCCCGTTAAGGTTGGCCTGGTAAATAATTTTCCGCCCGGCTTCTGACAATATTAGCTGCATGAGCTTCCGTAACTGTGTAATCCCACTGTCTCAATGTGTTTGACCTTTGCAATGAATACACACATGTTTCTACTCACCAGTTGTATATTATTTGACAGCATATAAGTCAGCCGCTCAATGTCAGTTCCGCGACCCTGTGGGCAGTGATGACGTTTATGACACAACAGGTTAGCCATTGAAGACCTTGTTTTAAGCTAGTTGGCCTCGTTTGCTCACCGTAGAATCATAATGATGTTTGAGCCAACAGATATGAATTTCCATAAATTCGTCTATTGCAAGCCAATGATTATCTCGCTCATTTGATGGAAGGAGTAGTGAGTGCTTAATAGCCCGGGCCAAACTTTTCGGAAGGTCTTCTTCCAACAGCATTACCAGTCTGGGAATGTGGCGGCTGTAATGTGAAAGCCCCGGCAAACCCTGGGACATCACTGCCCAACGTTTCCACATGGCCAACAGTCGACCAATATCTCCGGCACGCGTGGCCGTCTGCGCTTCAGCTACCGTCGCAAAGTCGCGAATGCGCATACGAAAATTGCTATTGGTGTGATTTACGCTGACTCTGGTCTCTTCAAGCGCGGGACT